GGACACTGGCAGTGCCAAGCTAGTGAACATCTCCAGTGTGAACCCGGGAGCCCCAAGGCACCTGAGAAGCAAACCTGGCCAAACCCAAGTGATCCTGCAGGTGCTGCAGCTTGGGTGAAGGTGACGGTGCCTGGGCTGGCCCACACTGCTCCACGATGGGACATGCAAAGGGTGCTGGGCCCACGTGAACGTGTCTCCCTTGGGCCCTCAGCTCCTCCAGGCATTTATGGAGGAATCTTATTTCTAGCTCTTATGATCATGGAGGACACACCTAAAACCCTCAAAATCCAGAGTTCTGTGTTTTTACATAATAAACTTTATATATAAACTATATATTTTGTTCAGCTGACGCTTTGTCAGGTGCCGCTGGTGACACTGGAGCTGGATTGGGCGGCCTGGAGGAGCGTGACGCTGGAGCCCGGAGCGGCCGGCACRGATCTGCGGGCCCAGCGCCCGCCTCGCGGCCTTGGCCCCGCTCATCCTCATCCTGCACTCATCCTCACCCCGCACTCATCCCCACCCCGCGCCCGGCTGCGGCAAGGAAACAGGCTGCCTCTTTCTAGGATGGCTCTGAATGGAGCCGGGCAGTTCAGATTGTCTGAGGCTGAAAAGGAAATGAAAAGGAGGAGGAAAACAAGCGGGGGAAATAGATGTTAGCATTCCCTGCAGCACCGCGCCGGCCACCCCGTCAATGAAGCTAATCCCTCTCTGCCACAAACAGCTCTTTGTCCCTTTTCCTCCTCCAAAGCAGCAGCTTTCCCAGCAAGAATAAAAAAACAAAAACAAAAATTAAAACAACAAAAAGAAGCCAACAAAACACAACAATCCTCAGCAGGAACTCACACACTAAAACAGCATTTAAAAAGAGAGAAACAGGGGAAGGAAGAAAAAAACAAGACGTGTATAAAGAGCGTTCCAAGTAACGGGAACGTCTCTCCGGCTTCAGAAGGATTGGTCACAGGTACCGTGGCTCGGGCACGCAGGCTGCTCGGGTTCAGGCAAATTAAGAAGAGAGGGAAAACTTCCCCAAGGGAACATTTGGTCTTCTAACATGCGAAGACGCAATCTGAGCAGTGCAAAAGATGGAACATCTGCAGCAGGTGATAACCACCAGAAATCCTCCCAACTTGCTTAAAAATATCCATTGAAAGCTTTTGTTTATTTTCTAGATTCTCAAAAGTCAGGTGCTATCTCCAAATTTGAATGCAAGAGAAAAAAATGACACTTCTCCTATCAAAAAGGATTCTTAAAGGTGCTAGGAAGAAAAAGAAGATCAATATGTAATGCAATAAGCTCCTCGGATCTCAGTATTAAATGCAGCGACCCAGAAGTGAGTCAAAACTCCTAAGTCCTTCATGAGACACYATGAGAATAGTTTCCAGAATATCGCTTTCCACAATATCACTACAAATTTAAAATAAAATAGGCAACATGGTCCACTATTGCATGGCCTTTGAAACAACAGACTCCTATAATGACAGCCCATCCTTGTACTTCTACCACAGCCTCAAATGCATCTCTGCGAAAAAAAAAAAACATTTAAAATCCTGGTTTATGGACAACAAAACACAGAGATTACTTCTCTTTTAATACTTCTCCTATTAATACTGCTAGGGGCAGCACAGCATTATTCTAGAATCACAGGCTTTGAAAAATCCAGTGAGTGACCTGTTGGACAGAGACCTTAAACTGCAGATGTGTTTGCAGGATTCTGCACAGTTGGAAAGGAAAAGGCTCCCAATAAACTCAGAGGCTGCAGGCAGCAGCTGGCTGCTTCTGTTACACAGCACCTAGGCTGGTCAAGCTGGCAGCAGTCTGAAGCAGATGCTCCCCTAAGTCAGTCTGAAATTCAGAGAGATGTCAATGCTTGCACTTCATGCTACAAAATACAATTCATCTATCAATAATACACATTTCTCATGCCTATTTATATACTTATCCTACACACAGGACACTCCATCTCTTACATGTGATACAGTTATTAAAGTTGTTTTGTTCACCACCTCTGCTAGGCTTTTAGTTTTTATACAGTTTGTCTCTCTAATGCTGCTACTTCCCTTAGCAAAGCACTGCAGCGAGGGAAGGGGTTGGGAATACAGAGTGACGGAAGCTGCGGGGCCGTAACGTGGGCCTATGGATGGGTGCAATGGGAAATTGAGCCTGGCCGGCAAAGGAGTAGGAAATAACAGCTGACGAGAATTGCATTTGCAGGTAACTGGAGTGGAAACTTATATTTATTGGGGAAAATAAAAACAAAGCACAAAATATTGTTTTTATTAATAAGGCAGAGTGGGAACCAGATAGGGAGGCAATTTTGTGCTACCATGAATTCCTCCCAAGCTCCAACATGCAATTTCCCTCCAGAGCTTCTGGAAGAGAGTGAGGATTATGCTCAGTTGTTCCCTGGGTTTGGATAATGAAGCCAAAAAAATCCCAATAAGCACCTTCTGCGGCAATATAGACTAGATAAGGATTTCTATTAGCAGAAGCTCCCTAAATATCCGAGAACAGCACTGCAATAAATATTCAGCTAACCAGCTAAAAAGAAGAATGTTGCTTTAGTTATTGGATTTTCTTTTTCAGAGGAACCTGTGCTATTAGAGAGGGCTTCAAGGAAACTCAATACAGCTCGTGGAGCCTAGAAATGCAACGCTAAGCTACGTAAATACAACATGCACTTTTATTTCACCTTTTCCAGCAATAACATTTTTACAGTGGAAAGCTGTGAACACTCCGAAAAATATGGAAATGAGGACAATTAAATTAGCCCTATTATAGATGCTAAATAGCCTGTTGTGATTGCACTTGGCATCCTTAGCATGATGCTGCAGAGCTGAACAATRAGCCCTAAACATTTCTAAACAAAAAATTAACAGGGCTTTAGAAATGGTAAAACATGTTACTTATTCCAGTCATACCTGTTTGCAGACGCTATTTTCAAGCCTAAATCCTCTCTGAAAAGTCATTAATACATCCTGAATTTCCTCTTTTTAGCGTTTCCAGTACCCAAAGCAGGTAGATGGCACAGCCAGAGCCAGCTGGGGCTTCCTGGCAAGGCCGGCCTCTCCCCAGGAGCTGCTCAGCAGCGACTAAAAGTTGGGAAGACCCTTCCCAAAACCCTTAAKCATCCTTCTTTGACTGAATAAAACCCAAGGCTGGGTGGCCTTTGCACCGCCTTGTCCTGCTGCTAAGATTCCTGCTGCCTGGAAATGCCCTGGGCTTATTCAGCACTTGCCAACTTTGTGCATGTGGAGAAAACCAAAGCCTGGGTGACAGGGGCTGAAGCCACCTCGCCAGCAGCCTCCTGCACGTGTCCGCAAAGGAGGGCTCACCACGGGGTGAAACCCCTTAAAAACCAGGAGCCCCAGGATGTGACAGCTCCCAGGATTAAAGCGCTGCACTCGTTTACCGAAGATGTAATCTCCTTAGGGTAAGACGAGGAAAAGCAAAATTAAGCCTTTTTGACGTATGTGATGCTTGCTGTTTTAAAGAATATATGAGCTCTCCGATTAAAAGSTTTTGCATATTATTGTCTTTTTATTTTTCCATCCATATTACAGACTGGAGAGCAATGTTAAACCTCCAACTTCATATTACGTTATACTTCCCCAAAACCCTCCTGCTGCCATCAAAATTGATCCACCCCAATAATAAAATAATAAGCGCTGKTCTATAGAAATGTCTCTTACTAAATATCTCTACTATATATTAGCATTTAAATGCAGGAAAGCAGCTCCCAGTCATGGTACAAGTGTCTCTACCTAGCTTTAAAAATAACATTAGGGACCCAGTCGCCTCAGCAAGCCCAAGCTTTTCCCAGCTCCTCCTTGTTGTCATTCAAGGGGAATTCTACCCTCTGTAAATGCTCCCATTTAAATATAGCTGAAGGGTAGTTTCAAATACTACAGGCTCTACCCATTTTTATTCAACCCACATGGCAATTTTCCTCTTGGCAAAGCACAGGCATCTCCGAATCTAGTAAAAATCCTTGCAGCCGCTCTGCTTCCAAACAGTTTTAAACAAGGGAAAAAAAAACCCAAAAACAAACAAACAAACAACCAAAAAAACCCCCACAACAATAACCAGCCCTGTGTTTACATGGGCAATAACGCTGAGACCCTGCAGATGCTGCTGGGAAAGGTGATGCTCTCAGCAACGCTTGTTGGGCACGCAGCAAAGGAAGAACGCCCCGCTGCAAGCTAAAGCGCTGCTGCCCGCAGGAGCGTCGGCAGTGCAGGATCGTAGGAGGCAAATGTCAACCACAAAATAGGGAAGAAATAGAGCCCTGTTAGCCCTGGTAGAGCCYGAGCGCTGCTCGGGCGCCGGCGGGCAGGGAGGCCGTGGTGCCGGGGCGGCACGCGGTGCCGTTTGCTGCGGAGCCGCTCGGGCAGCGCACACGGGCAGCGGGGCGTTTGTCGGGGAAAGAGAGAACCCRATGCCCTGGCGCTGCTTCATGCACCTCTGCAAAGGAAAAATACCCCAACTGGGGAAGTTTTGCAGAGATTCCCAATCCCAGCCAATAGCAAGTCCTTCCCTGGTGCTGACAGAGATAGCTGCTTCACTCATGGTCTTCCCATCTTGGGCTTATGAAGGTGAGGTGGATAATATTGGTGGGGAAACAAATGCAAGTGAGGAAAGCTGCAGTGATCTACCAGAATTTCACCCCCACCCGTTAAACTTTGGGAAACTCTCCCAAAAGGCTCAGGGAGGTCGTTTTTTCCGCTCCTCTTTTACCAAGAGCTCCTCTGCAGCACACACAGGCTGCAAAACGCGTTCCACATTTAGAGCCGCCAAGGCGGGTGGGCAGAAACAGGGCTTGGTGGGAGCAGTGCCCGGGCAGCGGCCTCAGCGCAGCAGGGCAAGCAGGAAAGGGAAGGCCGGCCCGTGGGGTGCGAGCATCGCGCCGGCCCGCGAGGGTCCGCGCGGTGCCGCCACCTCCGCCGCGAGCGCTGAGCCCCGCTTAGGGCTCCCCCGAGAKAAGCGAGAAGTTCGATCCTTACCAAGTTCTCTTGGTTCCTGGCTGCTATTTTCTGATCATCTTCGCCCCCATTTTTCATGTATTTGACCTCTTCCACTGGTTTGATCCTATACTCATCTGAGTGCCGAGGGGGAAACAAGGGGAAAAAAAAGAAAAAAAAAAGGTGTGAACCGGTGTAGTCCAGCAGCTGGGGAGAAAAAAAAAGAAAAGAAAAAAAAAGGCAAACCAAACCCAAAAGCAGCTGACTAGAAAAGGCCCTAAGTGAGGAAAGCAGTTAAAACTTACATGTATTTGGCTTCAAGTGCTTAAATACAACTGCGAGCAAGAAACCTTTTCTGCCTGTGGGTTAGGGAAGCACCTTTTGTTCTGGCCTTGAGGAACTGCTCACGAGTTACGTCTTCCAGTCCGGCCCCAGCACCATCAACAACCACTATTAGATACATGGGAGGTCAGCGTTACACTCTACCAGCTCCCCTGTTTGCTGTGTAACGTGTCTCAGTACAATCAAGTCCTCTGCACCCGGCAAWATCCCCATTTTGTTGTTTTTTAGTGGACAAATGTGTGGTAATTCCTACGCAGAGGAGTTTGCTTAGRTGTGTTCCTCACCTTGAGCAAACATCCTCTGAAGGGCAATACAGATGGCAAAATTTAAGTTAAAATTTGGAGGAAATAATAATAAAAACAAACCACCAAAACCCACTAATTTTTTCATTCTGCTCTTCCTGTCCAGTTTTAACGSGGTCAAAGCCAGAGGCAAAGCGGAGGCCCAGCCAGGTCAGCACGGCTAGAGAAGGCAGCTTCCCATCTACCTGCCACGCAGCTGCCTGCCACGTGTGCTCTTCAGTGCATTACAGCAGCAGCCCCTCTCAAAGCTCCAGGAATGTTTGCTTTAAAATCAATCTATCCCAATTTCTATGTCAAAAGCAAACCACAAATGCATTTCCCTTAGCTAACTGTACTGTAAGGACAAAAAAATTACTTAGTAATTTGTTTTCAGGAAAGTGTTAACCAAAGAGTGCACAAGGTAAATAAGATTAACTGTAAAAGTACAACTCTATTTTTAAGGCATGACGTAGTTTTGCATTTGTTCCATTTCCATACATTTTTTTTTGACTCTAAGTAAAACTGGAAACTTATCAAATAGCAGCATCTCAGGTACAATGGAGGCTGAAAATAGACAGCGAAGGAAAAATTTCAAACCGCATTAGATTGGCAAGTGTGAACATGAACTCACTGAATTTATTTAGAAAAATGGAATTTTAGGAAATCAGGAGGTGACAATTCATAAAACCAAAAAGGCTAAACACAATAAAAACTGGGAACAAGAAGCATTTGACTGACTGTAGTACCTAACTTGCATTTTTCTCACTCCTTCAACCATCTCCGTTGCCATGAGCATCAAATCCCACATGCAGAAAAGCGGAACACTCCCACAGTGGCATTTATGGATTTCCATGGGAAAACAGATGAAGTAACTCCAAGGCCACGTGCACAACCTGCAGCCAGTCCAGGGCTGCCACAAGCAAAGGGAACTGGGTGGTCCTGCTCTGCAGAAAATGAGGAGGGTCTCCAGGCCCAGGTGGCTGTTGGTAAAAACTACCACTGAGATGCGACATCAGCTTGGATGCAAGTGCACCAGGACATTGATAAAAATGACCTTTTCAGGACATTGATAAAAATAATCTTTTCTTAAAAAAAATAATTAGTTGCAATGAGATTTATATATGAAAGTTAGATATAGTCCTATTGGACAGGAAGGAAAGGAATGTCAAGATAGACATGCTGCAAGCACAATCAAGTGAATGTCTGAGCAAGAGACAGCCCTTGCAAGGGGTTATATGGTCTTAACTGACTTTAAATGAATATGAAAATTAGATTAAAGACAAGTTTGAGGAATGGTCCTTTGATGCTTTCCCTAAAGGCAGCTCATTTTGCATTTGTCAATTCTCTAGTTTTGCTAAAATTGCTGCCTATGGTAAGAGTGGCAAGAAAGGAAAAAGGATGTTAAATTCATGTTTTGATTTCTAATAAATTCATCATTTATCATTATATTCATTATTATTATCATAATTCCTATCACCCAATAAAAGAGAAGGCAGCAGCACATCTAGCACAGAYGACTTTGGAGGAAGAAGTGAGAAAGATTTGTTAAATGGGACAGGCTGCTGAAACTCTCAATAGGAAAATCTTATGAATGAAGATCTCCATCTGGGAACGGATCACTCGACTCCAACGTGTCAGCCCGTTGCCACGGAAACGTGACAAAGAACAAGCACACTCATTAATACCGATCACGGTGATAAATGGGCAGATCAACCTCGAATATTGGAACAATTACTGGGCAGCGAAGGGGAGGCTGAAAACTGAGGCTGCTCCTGTGAAAAGGATTTCTCCGGGACTTGCAGACATCTGTGCAAGTGCCATTGCCACAGCTYCATCGGTAATGACATTATACTTTGGCTCGGCTAAGGGGAAAAAAACAGACAAAAACCACAGATCTGGCCTCCCACTCCTTTTTCTTTTTTTTCCTTACTAACTCCATCAATTAGATCTGGGCTTGCTCTGACTTTTGCATAAATCTTTTGTTAAATACCAAGCCTTAAAAAAGAAGAGGGCTATCTGTTATTTATATGAAGGTGCCGTCCCATTTCAAACATCTAAAGCCTGACAGATTTGGCTCTGCTGTTCGCGAAAGGGATGACGGGGGCGCCTCTGTTCGCTATTTTTAGCAAGATACATCACGGATCAGACGTGAGCTATATGGTACTTCAGTCAGGCTGCCAGGAAGAAGGTTCTGACCGCACCTTTGTTTTCCTGTGCTCCAGATTTGTTTTGCACTCTCTCTTGCCTCTGTCGTGAGGGATGTGCGGAGATTTCTCCTTCGTTTGTTAAAATGCCAGCGTCTCTCTGCACAACACGAGCCCCGAYTGGCACGACGCGTTTCCCTGTGCTACACTTGCTTCTACCTGGCGCAGAAGCGGTTCCCACTGCTGYGCACAAGGCACCAGGCACCGCAGATCAAAGCTTCGTGGACCCTCCTCCCTCAGAGATGTGAAAGCCAGTACTATATTTAGGAAAAGGACCAACCTGCTCTTTCTAAAAATATCTGCTAAAATCCGTGAAAGATTTGCTGCAACTTAGCTGAAACCCATTTAGCAGCAGGTGAGTCATTTTGATGGTAAAATCAAAACAYATCAACCATCATCAACAACGCCACTGTAAATGCACTGCAGGATGGGCTGTTGTGGACTTAGATTTCCCCAGATCCAGCCTTGGCATTAGCACAAAGCATTAACATCAAGGACGSAGAAGTATCGTGACTAGCTTGTGTGGGGGATTGCAGAGTTTCCCCAAGGCCTTTGGGAATCACCTGCCTGGAGCGCTGCACATAGAAGCCGTTCTGCTCTGGGGCACAGGATGGATGAGATGAGCTCTTCAGACCCTTTTCCGCTCTAGCCATCTATTCGTGCACCTGACAGCAACTGCACGTATATTGGCAGATACCACGCCAAATATTAAAAGAGACCCACAATTAGGAAAGAAGTGTGAAGCCTGTAAATGAATATTTCTCAAAGAAAAGTTTGGATACGAGAGGAYGCGCCACTTATCTCTTCACCCTCAACTTCAAGCCCTTGGGGAAAGTGGTATCAATGTGGTCACTGGTTCTGATTGAAGTACAGCAAGGGTTGAGACTGAAATGCCACCAAAGAGCCAGCAAAGCTGGTGAGCAGCCCATCGTCTTCATCCATGATCACGCCTTGCACTGGTCACGTCTCGGGCAATTCTGCAGTCTAGCGATCATGTTGTTTTTGCTAATATGAAATACTGAAGGAGAAAAAATAGCCTAGGAAATAAGCAGACCTATTTCTCCCAAAGGAATATCTGAAGAGATTTGTTCAGATTTTCCAAACGAAGTTACACAAACCTTAATCTAATCTGAAATAATGCAGAAGTCACTGCTGAAGCCAAGTTGGTGGACAGAATCAGATATTAAACAGAGCACAGGTACGCAAAACAAATTTTGCCAACAAGATATAAATCATCCAACAGAAACCATTTAATATGTCTAAATACACTAAAGCAAAGGGTTCCAGCAGGTCTGGAAAGATCACCCTCCAGTACTGTCTCCTTCCTAAATACTTCCAATATAAGACTGCAAGGTTTGGCATTTGGGGGAGAAGCAAAGGGTTTTAAATTGTCCATTTTAAATGCAGGCAAGCACCTGCATTTCTGCCTCAGATTAAACCAAGTCATCCAGATGTGAGGCATCTTTTGGAGCTCCCCCATTTCCCCCCAAACCTGGTTGCTGCCACCCAGGAACTTCTGCTTCCACCCAGGAACCGCACTTCGGCTTTGAGCAGCGGCTGAGCTGCGGTGCTTTTTTCAGCACCTAAAATGGCACAAGAGAGGAACAGCTCTTTTCTGAGCTATCCAGTAGTTCCCATTACATCCCTGTGTCACGTCCACGCTCTATGGAACATTTACTCCCTCAAGGGTGATGTCTGCTCAAAATCGAACTAGGAAATTTTAGCAAATTTCCTCCTATTTTATCAGGCTATTTCCTTTCAGGCCCAAATCACAGCAGCTTGTAACAACAAAGCGCCTCCAGGCCTGGCGGGTTTGACCRGGGACGGTTCCATTATCTTTAATGGGCTTCAGCTCAACTTCTCCTGATACCAGAGCAAAGAAAACTCCCACTGCCTTATTAACCCATCCTTCATCAGTGCCATCAGTGCTGCTACTTGCTCTGGTCCGTTCACTCTCTGCATCCCTCTCCCCCAAAAGCAGGGCCCCACTCGTGCCTGTGGGAAGGGAACATGCTGTTCTGAGGCCCAGATGCTGCTGCTGAGCAAGCTCCTCAGTTCACACGTCGGAGGCCTCCGATTTGCTTTCCCCCCAGTTTAATAAAGCGACAGATGGTCGTCGAGCCATAATCGGGCTCCCTTGTTTGCRGCGGGCTCGTTCTCCGATGTGCTGACGGGGACAGAGCACGCGCGGCTGAAGCCAGGGAGCCTCRAGCCCTGCGCGGTTCTTCCTCGCACAAAAGCCTCCTAAGGCCAAACTGTGCTTGGACCRCTACAAAGTGCCAGTGCTCTAAGTACAACAGACCCAAACGA